ATTTTTTATGCATGAGGAACACTGCAGAAAGTTATATTTTGTAGAAAAACTTTTTACTTGCTGAATTGAAACATTTTGTGAAATTTTTTATCTTTTTGGGAGAAACTTTGCTTTTGGAAGCACATATGTAGCATCAATATTTAAATCCATCTTTTTAAACTCTTTGTTTCTGTTGAATGTAATATTATAAAATTCGATACCAGTGTATAATGGGCATTAAGCCACTTATATATTCTTCGTGGTGTTATTAATATTTTTGAGCTTGTTTTATTTATTTGAAATTCTTGTTTTATGTGTCTCACCAGCAGCTGAGTCATTGAAAATTGGTAACTTGACCTGGCTTCAAATTCTGGTAAATAGTTTCACTGTCGTAAAGTTTTCATAGTTTTTCTACGTGTAATGTAAATACGAGCCAGTTTCTTCTATAAAGAACTCCACATAGTCATCCCTTCTCCTAGGAAGTTGATGCTCGTGTGCTTTGCAGTATTCCTAAATTGTTTTCATATATTTCTTTGTCAAGAACCTGTGTATTAAAATATGTAAAAATGAGAATTATATTTAAATGTGAGTTTTCATAATAGTTATCTTTCAGTCAAAGGAAATCAAATATTTTAAATATTGCACCATAATATTTCTTGTGACCAAAATAAATTTTATATTGACTGGTCTTTATTTACTACATAGTTTAATACTAAATATTTTCGTACAAAAATATTCACTGATGAATGGGTAATAGAAATTTGTATAATTTAAATGTACTTTATAACCCCAAAAACAGTCCTCCTTGTTTATTTTTCAATAAAACCTGTATAATAAACTAGATTATTTACTTTCATCAGAAAAGAATCATGTTTATTAAATTATTAGAAAAGATTTGGTCTAATTGGAATGTGAAAATGTAGATTTTAACAGTATGTTTATATTACGTATCGTAAACGTTTGTATAAAGAGTGTGTCTGACAAGCATTTGTAATTGCTATTCCTCCTTTGTCTTTAAATAAAAATCATTTTATAACTATAAATGTTTAATTTTGCATTTAAGAAATAGTTCTGTACTATCAGCATAGTACTCTGTAATAAATGGTTTTGCAAACAAATATAATAATAATATAACTTTAAATTGATGGAATTAAAATCTTTCATTAGAAGTAAAGGTAGATTTTTAATTTATTTTCCTCTATGTCATTTTTACATTCAGTCATTTGTTTATACCAACCAAGAGGAGAGGCAAGTTCAAAGACTACCCAGGCTGCATATGTTTAGCTGTAACATATATATATATATATTAATTTTTTCTTAAACAGTATTGATTAATTGATTATATTATCTCCTAAGTTTAATTAAAGTAGAATTATTTTAAAAGTGTGAATCCATACTGGTAGTTATATTATGAAAGATGTTTTGAAGTAATTTTGAAGCAAAATGTTATAATGTTTTTTAACGGGGACTGGAGTTAAATCATACAACATTATATATATATATATATATATATGTACATTTTCACTTTCAATCTCTGATTTATGATTTAAATTGAAAAAATTTATAGAATAGAATATACCCTTTCTAAGACAATCTTCAATATGTCCCAAAGATTTGGTTTTCTATGAAGACAACTGTTTAAAAGAAATGGTATTCAGAGCAATATGTTATGTATATTTTCAGAAAGACTGGTCATTTTCAGAGGTGGTTGTCTTAAGTTTTCACACAAAAGTAGTCTGATTGTAATACAGTTGAGCTATATTTTTATTTTACTGCTCCTTCTACTTTTAACGTGGTAAAAATTTTATGATGTTCGATGCTGAACAGACAAATGAAAATTCCTAAGTAAGACAAGAATAAAAATATATCCAATGCAACTCAGGGATTCCCCCCCTCAAGAAAAGATAGCTTTTATTATTAATAATTGTTATCCTAAAGTTTATAATCCTATCAAAGCAAACCAGCATTTTTAAATATTCCAAATTAAATTTACTAAATCTACGGAAGGCAACGAACAAACAGAAAGTATTAATTCATTACCGCACTTAACATTGCACAATGAATGGTACTATTTTCTAAGATGATCACTGAATGTACTTCCTTTCTACTTTGAAAAAAGCCTATAGACACCCTACAAAGTCTCTCTCTCTCTCTTTTTTTTTTTTTTTTTTTTTTTTTTTTTTTTTCATTCTCCAGTATTCCAGATGGTGTTCATAGCTTAAGGCACCATGTTTTTTAAATTCTAATGTGGTGCTGCTATGGTTACTCCGGTCATTAGCTTCAACTCTCTTTGGCAAAAAATTACATTTTGACCTTCGTGAGAATGCTGCCTGTCATTGTAACGTCAGACATCCATTGCAACAATTGGTGCCATCTATTGACAAAAGGCTGCATTCATGTTTCTCAAAACTTACTCTTAAAGAGACTGGACAAAGGGGAAAGTGTAAGCAAAATTACCATAGATTTAGGTGTTGGATGGACTGCTTTGATAGTGTGGAAAAAGAAGGGGTCCGAAATTGAGTCTTGGTGTTTGAAAATAGTTTAAGGAAAGAAAAAGTATGAAAATCTAGTATGAATCAGAAAAAGTGTGCAAGCTGCTTTTCAGGCAATTTGTTGTTCAGGCAGCACACGGAACACCCATTTCAAGACCAATTTTACAAGGAAAAGCCCTAAAATTTTATGATGAATTTCAAGCAGAGCTTGGATTTACTGCTAGTGCTGGCTGCCTCGACAAATGGAAAAAGCAATATGGCATCAGGCAGTTAAATGTGAGGAAAAAGCGATCTGCTAACTTGAAAAATGCTGCAACATTCCAGAATAATTTCCACATACTAATTGAAAAGAGGGTGTACTTGGATATCAAATTTATAACTGTGATGAGATCTATTTTTGATTTGAAATGCTTTCAAAAAGATTATCACTTTTTGATATCCACCTCAGTAAAAGAAACCTATTTCTTCCATCCGCTTTTTTTCTGCTGTGGGAAAAAGATATCCTCTTCATGAAAGTAAACTAAATTGAAACTAAAACTTAAAGAAATTAATATAGTGTGATTTGCAATTGTGATTAAATCATCATATAGATAAATTAAACTAGAAAGATAATGAGATTTGAGATTTCAATTTATCTATAAGAAAAAATATTTAATCATCTGTACTAATATCATAATGATGTAATACTTCTTTCTGGTTTTAAATAATGTAATCTTTGAAGATAGCTGAAATATGATTAAAAAGAAGCTAAACACTGTTTCTGATATTCATAATCATTTTCATATCTATATTCATATTTTTATATTTGGTATTTTTTTAACTTCTTGTATTAAATTGCTTACTTTCACGCACTGGGGAAACGGTGTAGCATCAGGGTGCCTGAGTCAAGGACCCTACCCCTTGTAGAACAGATATGTTATTTCGAATATTGTCACATGTAACTAGTATATATTTAGAATTTTTTTTTTTTACATATATATAATAAATCATTTTTTTTAACATTTTTTAAAGTTATAAATAATTCTAGCGCGAATTAAATGATCCAGAGATCTCCAAAGACCAATAAAAGATTAAAGATGAGCCTGAATGACAACTCTAATGATTGTACGGACTCATACACAAACTGTGAATGGCATGCCCTAAGATATAAACTTACAAATTCAGTTATATTACTATTTCCTATTGCCGCGTAATGTTTTTTAACATTTTTTAAAGTTATAAGAATAGATACAAGATAACAGATAAATTTCTAAAAAGTCTAAAGTGTATGTCAGGTTTCAATAGACCTGAAGTACTATCTGGGAAAGCTGAGAAAGGAGGAATAAGCTGGCTATAGCCTGATGCAGAAAAAATATTCATAACATTCATATAAATAATAGGCAAAGTAGTGCGAGTCTCTTGGTCCACTAGTAATAATTAAACCTTAAAGCTACAACACAATATTAAGGGGTACATAACAGATTAAATAAGTTATACAATATGGGTACTAAGTATGGCCATAGGTTGTTTACTATTATTTGGGTCATTAAAGTTGTAATCATAAATCCTTATAACTGGGTTGTTGATATTAACAAGATTGGCATAAAAGTTCCGAGCGAGCCGGCAGTAAAAACGTTTAAGTTGTTCTATACCCAATTCGTCTTGTAACTTTTGATTTCGAACATACCAGGGCAAATTGGTAATCTGTCTTAGGACACAATTTTGTGCCTGTTGAAATTTTTTTCTATAACATTTGCATGAATATGCCCAGACCGGGCATAGTATGGGATGCAATACGGTTGTATAAATAAGCAACTTGTTGTCTATTGAAAGTACACTGTTTCGAGAAATTAAGGGGTGAAAAATGCTTACCGAGAATGTCAAACTTTCCCTACTTTCCAATGTAAAAATACATTAAAGTATTTTCTTTCTCTTTCCATTATGCTGACATCCAGACTCAGTGCATATTTAAGAGGTCTAGGATTCGAGTCCCAGTGAAGGCATTATTCATTTTTCATGTCTCCTGCTTCAAAATAACCTAATGACTCTACAATTGGCTCCCGAACTAAAAGGGTGGTGAAAGATAATTCGTCACCACCATAATTTGGTGATTGAGTCCCCTCATCCCCAGTTGCCATTTAAAAACAGGGAGTATATAAGATGCTTTCTCCCTCCATTCCATATGCCTTCATGATGTAACTGAAAGCAATCTCGATGCATATTTTGAGAAGTGCAGGTTTGAGTCCTGGCGAGGGTATTGCACATTTTCCACTTCTCTTGCTTCAAAAATTCGAATGACTCTACAACATGATTCACATAAACATAAACCAAGTTAAATTTATATTTTAATTCTCGATATATGTAAAAATGGGAACGCTATGGAATTTTCAGAAATTAAATGCCTAAATTTTGATGCAAAATAAATAAATGAAGAATAAAAATTACATTTCTTTGATGTATATGAAATTTTAAGTGATAGTTAAACTTGGTATTTAGTACCTTTAAATTATACTAGTGTAAAATATATTTAATATATAATTTTTTCCCTAGCTTCACCTATTTTTCGTTTACCCTCAATTAATGTTGAACATATCTGGACTCAAAAAAAAATATTGGATCAATTAGCTGACAAAGAATGTGGCTATTTTCTATCCAGTGCAGCATTTCCGATTATAAGTGGTAGATACCTGTGTGATCCTATTGCTCACATACTGACTGAAGGTGATGAAATGGTAAGTCTATTAATAAAAATTTACTTATGTTTGCTATATGTCAGAAGTGGGGAACCTTTTTACCATTAGAGGCCACATTTAAATTAGGCAGCAATAAGAGAGGCCGCATAAGCTCATTGACCTAAGAAAGTGACTTTTGTGAAATTATTATAGTTTTTCTATAGATTTAACAATTTATTGCATAGAAAAAAATAAAATATAATACTACAAAATTTTAAATATAATATACATATAAATAATATAAAAATATTATAAAAAAATACAATAAAAAATATTTTTTTATTCACTAAGTTAGTGACTTATTTGGCTTTGTTTTTTGTTTGACAGTAATTGTTTTGTTTTTGTTTGACAGTTTGGATCAAGCTTTGTAACACACAGCTTTAATTGATCCTCTAAATGTGCATCTGTAATTTGCGTTCTTAAATTTGTTTTTATTTTTGACATGAGAGAAAATGTTGTCTCGCAACAGTAGGTACTTACGAAGCAGGAAGTAAACGGCGAGCTTGTTCTCGAAGGCATGGATATTCAACAGCATTTTTCCAGATTTCTATGGGATCCTTTTTAGCGTTAAAAAGGGATTTGATGATACTATCTTCCCCTAAATCAATTAACTCCATTTATAGTTCTGCAGGAGCCTCGGATATATCTATTAAATGTGGTTCAAATGCCAGTTTCATAGCAGGAGTGTGCTCGTCAAAATCAGAAAATCTATTAGTATACTCTTCTATTAAACAATCCAAGGCACCTACATATTCATCGAATATTTTATTTTCACAGTTCTGCTCATTTAACATTTTAGCTAGCTCCGGGAAGTGTTGTGCAGATATTTCCGATCGACAAAGTAACGTTTTGAAAAATGGTAATTTTTTTCTAAACGCTTGGATCTTTTGCCACATTTCACAAATATACCTCGTTTCACCTTGCAGGCAAATATTTCAATTGTTTTGTTTTGTCATCATATCAGACAAAAATGCAAGGTTTCTGAGAAATACTTCATCTGATAGATCACATTGTTTTCCTTGTTCTTTATAAAAGTTTAAAATTTGTCGTCGTAAAGACAAAACTTTTATCAAAACCTGACCTGTTGATAGCCAGCGAACCTTGCAGTAGTATTGCAGGTCAACACTATATGTTTCCTCATCTAAAGAGAGCATCTGCCGAAATTCACGATGACGCATTCTATTTACGCGAATATAGTTGACAATGGCAATGGTTCTATCCAGAGTGTCTTGCAAAATGGTAGATTTTGCGCAAAGATTTTGCTGATGCAAAATGCAGTGAAATGATATCAATTTTTTCCAGTTTAAGTTTTCCTTTTTTAACAAAGCAACAAATCCTTCTTTTTTGCCTCTCATGGAAGGTGCGCCTGACTAAATTACTGACATTCAATTGTAATTTATTACATACTTCTTTGAAGTTTTCAAAAATATCAGCTCCGCGAGTTCTTCCAGTTAGTGTACCCAATGCAAGTAGTTCTTCGTAACATTGAAAATCTTTAGTTATAGCACGAATAAAATATAAAACTTGTGCCGAATCTGTTTTATCAGTGCTTTCATCTAAAGCAATTGAAAAATAAACATCTTCATTTTGTATAATTGCATGAAGTTGCTCTGTTACATTTTGCGCTAATTCGTGCTGTCGATCTGTTACAGTTCTTCTTGAAAGAGGTAATTGTTTGTATTTGTCGACATTTCTTGGATCTAACATACTCACTGCTTCAACAATACATTCTTTAATTATTTCAATGTCACTAAATGGTTTGCCCCTTTTTCCAAGTATATGTGCTATTTTATACGTAACAGCAACTGCAGCGGAATTTTGATTTACAAAGGCACTAAAAGATGCCTGCTGATGATGCTTCTCATTTTTCAACTTTTGAAATGCAGCTTTTCGTGATTCACGTTCTAAAGTGAAATATTTATGTTCTTTATGAGTCAAATAGTGTTTATTCGCATTCGCTTTTTTTAAAGTATTTAAAACTGTATTGCACAACAAACACATCATTTTATCTTTCTCAGCAGTAAAGAAAAAATCTAACTCCCATTCTACATTAAATGTTCTGTTTTCATCACCTAATTTTCTTCTCTTACTATTTGACATGATGGATAAAAAAATGAATATCAAATAATATCTTTAACAAAGTGTGTACTTTCTAGAAATACAATAAAACCGTGTACCTGTTATAAGCACGCACTGTTAACTACAGTTAGCTGAAGATCGCAACAGGGAAGCATTGAGAGATGCGAGTCAGAGAAGCCAAAGCAAGGTGTGACACTCAAATGGGAGATCTGAAACCGAGTTTTGTTTACTTCTTAGACAAGGTAGTTGGCGCTGCTAGCTGTGGGTCAGAGCCTCGCTCATGCGTGTTAGAGTCCGTTTCGGACTAGTATTCTGACATCATGTTACAATATGACTGTCTTTAGCGGGATTTTTCACGCAACTATCGTGGCGTCGATGTACAATAGTTGTTTGAAACAAACTCTACCATTTTGTACTAGGTGGCAAAGGGCCGCACAAGAACCTCGCAGAGGCCGCAGGTTTCCTACCTATGCTATATTTCATAATACTTTGGGCCCACCAGCGGCCGAGCGGTAAAGTTGCTGAACACTGGTAGTTCGGTCCGAGATTCGAATCCCGCGAACGGGCTGGCTGCATGGGTGTTTTCATGGTTTTCCCCATATGTAACGTGTATACGAGCCAGTTTCCCTTAGAAAATCCTCCACGAAGGCATCCCTTCCCTTAGGCAGATAGCCCTAGTGTGCTTTGCCATAATTAAATACACACATACTTTGTTATAATTTTCATAACAAAGGGGAAATCCTTTGTTTTCCATTTTTCGCTAATGATTCCCATTCTTTTCATGGATTCTTAATTTTGCTACTGTTATTTTTCATATGCGACTTCACTGTTTTTAATGTTGGAAACATCTTTTGTTAGAGAATTCCACTTTTCATATCTGCCAATCATCTCATGACTAATTTCAACTAAGATGCTGTGTGTTACGTATTACCAGTGTGTCCAGAAAATGCCTTATGCAGTCTTTATTTTGCAACTATTACGTATATATATATATATATATATACTTTTACTATATAAGTGTGTCTTAATTATATAAGTGTTGTAAATGATGCAAATGTTCATGTTTTAACATTTTTAAATTTAAGATATCAGTAATAAAAATTATAAACATCAAACTTTCATCTCATTTCCAATCCTCATAGTTGCATTAAGTAAAAATTTATACTCATTTTAAAAAATAAAGCACAAACCTTTTCACTCAACGCAAAAAACTGCATGATGTACTTAATTTCAGAATTCAAGAATTCTGCCATCTTCTTCAGATACCCTTGAAAGGGGTTTGATTAAAAACTAGATTATAGTAATCTGAAGATGATTTTTTCCCTTTAATATTATTTAGTGATATGCTTTTGTGATTTACCAGTTCATAGTCTTCTTTAATACCTAGTTTTGTTATATATAGTATGCTAAAATGTAATTTTCATGCAAGTAATTTATATTTTCAAATGCTAAAAATAAACATATTTATATCCTCATGCAGCTCTCTTGCCTAAGAATCATAATCTAATAGTCATTACAAGAAAAAAAAATTAATTTAGGCAAGTTATACAAGAAATTAGTTATAGACCAATATTATAACATGCCACTGTTTTCTGGAACATTAATTTTATAAGACTATATTAATAAGATCTTTAAAAAAAAATTTCTGTTGGTCATCGCTTAATCTAGTAACACGAGAATTTTTTTTTTTTTTTTTTTTTTTTAATTCATATTGCTTGCCAGTAGCAGAATGGATAAAGTCGATGAACACTGATAGTTCAATCCATATTCAAATATAGGCGCATAGGCTGGCTGCAATCGGATTTTTAATGGCTTTGCCCATGTGAATGCAAGCCAATTTCCCTAAAGTATACTCTACATAGGCATCACCCTATGTAGCATGCATCTGTAAATTACACATGAAAAATACAAGCAATTTACCTATGGCACTTAGTATAAAAATATAAAACCTGAACACAAAAATATTATAAAATGTGTCTGCGAAAAAATAGCAGATATTTACATATATTTTTATAATACAATATAAAGATATATGTAAATTTTGGTATATTTATGCAAATGATCACGCATTATTCGTAGCTTTTACATGTAACATACATAAATCCCAGTGGAGTTTAATTGGAAAACTGAAAGATGCTGTTGGAATTTTAAAATATAGTGAACTGTCTAGAATTATGTTGGCCATCTTGACAGTTCCCCATAGTAATACAGAGTACGAGAGGATTTTCAGTGTTGTTGCAAAAACGAGGACTAAATTTAGATCTAATATTAGTGATGACACATTAGAAAAACTTTTATTAGCGAAAGCAGGCCTACGTGGCAATTGCTATGAACAAAATTGTGAAGTTTCTTTCTTAAAGAAAGCAAAATCTGCCACTGTTTATAATATTTGTATGAAAACTGATTAAAGTTTTTTTTTTTTTTTTTTTTTACTCTCTTAAACGATGCAAGTAATGAAAATGTTTTTTATGTGTAAGGTATTTTTGTGTTGCTTGCATTTAAGAATTAGTTAGTATTTAAAGTTAATTCATTATTAAAAACTATATTTTCATCATTTAAAGAGTCTTTTTAACATTGTGAAAAATCTCCTGATTTCTTAAAAAAATCTCCTGATTTTTGAGTGTCATAGGTTGGCAAGTATGAATGCTATAAATATTTTAACAATTGGAAAAATGATGTGCTCTAACTGATGAGCATATCTAGCAGGCTCTAATATTTTATTCAGTGTCTGATGTAAATTAAACAGAAAATTTAAATCAATAATAATGAAGGATACATAAATTAGAATTAGTTGAGTGCTTTAAAAAACTCTTAATTTTATTATTCAGAAGATAACTAATGCAATTTAAATGTCATTCAACAGAAACTGAGATATATCTTCGACATGGTACTTTTTTTTTTTCAGCTCATTATCGATGACT